CCTGGGCCAGCTGCAAACATCTGCCTCTCTGTCCTGGCCCTGGTCCTGGCCCTGGCCCCGGCCCCCGCTGCGTCCCAGCCCCAGACCTGGGCCCAGCCTCTAGGAAGGCAGCACATACCGGCAGTGTTCCCCACTGTGACCTCACTGCTTCTGCAAAACATTGTTGGAACCTGGCAGGGCAGGACACAGCAGGGAGTGCAGAAAGCTGCCTGCTCCCACCTCCCCACTGCCCTGGCCATACTTCCCCTGCAGGTGGGGGCAGCAGTGAGGGGCACAACCCTGTACTGCTGCCCATGCTGCTCCTGTGCACACAGCGGGGAGCTCAGAGCAGGTAGCTTTCTGCATTCCCCACTGTACCCTGCTGCACCAGATTCCAGCCCTGCTATGCAGAAGCGATGAGGGGAGCATTGCCCGTATGTCCTGCCTCCCCGGGGCCGGGTCTCGGGCTGGGAGTCAGCTGGGGCCGGAGCAGAGAGGTAGCAGATGTTTGCAGCTAGCCCAGGTTCTGGATAGCTGCTGATACCCACAGAGCCTGGGCTGGGGCTTTGGGCAGGAAGCACAGGGCTGGGGGGCAGGGGCTTTGGCTGGGGGGCATGGGGCACAAGCAGGGCATCCTGCCATGTACCCCTACCCTCATTTTGTTTTTCTGGCATGCTGGCACTCTGGCATCTTCCAAGGTAAGCATTGTGGGGGTTTTCGGTACTCTGGCCAAAAAACATTGCCTACCTCTGGCCTATACCCATGTAGTGACTGTGGAGCAGCTGACACAGTAAGCCCCCATCTCCTTTTACTTCACCCTAGATTGTATGTCTATAAAATCGTAGTACTATACAGGATTTTATCCTGTAACACACTTCCTTTAGTCCCAATGAAAATAACATGTATGAAAAGACTGTAAAAAATGTCCAGAGGAAAAATCAGCAAGGATTTTTAAAGTAACAGTGACAGACAACTTGTGTATCCAGTACTGACTAAATTAGAATGAGTAAAATCAAGACTAGGAGGGACTTTAAGAGGTCCATTTATCTAATCCCCTTGCTCGAAGCAGGATTAGCCCTGTTTAAACTACCCTGGCTAAGTGTTTGTTGGAATGAAAGGAAAATGTAGTAGATGCATTAAAGTGATTGATGGTTCCTCTGTGGCCTTGCACATGGTTAGCATTTGTGTAATAAAAGCAACTTCTATGTTTTAGTTAAATTGTGCATTATGGCTGCCTGTTCCTAAGTGTAGGTGAAGGGAAATCAAATAAAAATCATTTATCAATTTAGTTTCTTTTCCTAAAGCACTTCAGTGCACAGATGCTTAGTGTTCATATACTATTCATATGCTTAGGATCTTCCTGAATCAGTGGTCTTCCTACCTGAGGAATTATTGTCACTTTGATGGTGCCTATTTGACTATGTTTAGGTCTCCTGCTGGTCTGTCTTGGTTGGTATCTTAGGTCACTGCCCTGTGGCTAAGTCTTGTCAATTGAATCCAGCCTGTGTCCTCCCTATTCATGAAGAAGTCACCTAGATTTCTGAGGATACCATTGAATTGCCCTTCTGTCCTTGAGGTCAGCTTTTGGTTCCAGTGTTTGGTGTGATGGGGCCATCTCGGGGCCAGTCAGTATCAGCCCTCCCACCCTGATTCCCCTGCCATGCCTTGACGCATCTGAAACTTGACGGAAAAATGCAGGAAGCAGCCCATTTAACGCCCTCATGCCAAGGGTGTAATACACCACTCCAACCTTCCCTTTACCGTGTCCTAGGCATCGCAGATTGCATCCAAATCACTCCTAACTCACCTAGCCCTATTGCTGGGCCGCACTAGGCCACTGGCCCAAACTATCCACTATTATTTCTGTGGCCCAATTACTGGGTTGCACTCAGCCTCTGGCCCAAATCTGGCCTCAGGTGTCCATAGACATGTGCTGACGTCATGCCCCACTCACTGCAAATCTCCTGTGTGCACCCTGGGCTCTATGCCTCTCATTGGGCTTCTAGCCCCTTACACTCTACCCCATCACTGGGGCTATGGGGCCTTACACCCCATGGTCCTCAGATGACTGTCAATGTGTATGGACCCCACTCTTGGCTTGCGGCCCACTCAGGCCTCTGGTGTCTTCAGACATACCTGGACCTCACTCCAATTTAGGCCTTGGGCCTCAGGCCCTTCTGCCCCCTGGTGCTGGTGCCCAAGCCTGTTGCTTTTCTCTCAGGGTGTGTTCCCTGAGCCTTTCCACAGGGTCACCCACAAGGCAGTGGGGGCTGAGGCTGTCCAGCACTCCCTACTCACCTTTCACTAGGGAGGCAGTGGTGTGGCATTTCCTGGGGGCTGCCCCACCACACCATCCTACCCCAGGAAATGCCATCCTACCCCAGCAGGGTGTAGGAAGGCACACCATCCTACCCCAGCAGGGTGTAGTTTTAGGTCATTTCTGGAGGCCTACCTGTCCTGCTCTTATTCTCACACTTGGCCCCAGCTGCTTGCTCTCCTGGACACACTACTGCAGCCTCCATCTCACAGACTGCCCTCAGTCACTGTCCCATCTCTCCCAGGCCCCCTTTTTAGGATGTCTCTCAGGAGGCTGAGCTGTAGCTTCCTTCATATCAGCCTGCTTGCTGGCTGACCCCTATCCTCTTTTGGCAGTGGGTTCCCCCCAAAAGGGGGATGTTTGGTCTGCTTAAGGCCCTGGACCTGCCTTCAGGCCAGTCAGGGTGCTAGTAGCTCTCCACAGCCCTGATCTGCGCCTTGTGCTGGGCTTGCTTGCCTTTTTGGCCTGATGGCCCTGGCACCCTTGCATTGACCAGTTGAGGTAAAGGATCGGTCTGGCAGCAGCTGCACTTCCTACTTGGCAGGGGTCCACCTTGGGCCCCATCAAAGCCATCAACTTCCCCAGGTTTGCCTAGAGCCCTAGAGGTCTCAAGCATCAGCCTCTCTCACCACTGGACTCATCTGAGGCCCTCAGTAGCTCACCAACTCTAAGCCCCTTTTACAAGGCAGGCCTCATTCTTTCCTAGGCCCATCACCTTTTCCTCAGGGTTTGGGACCCCGCTGCGTCCCTAGGAACCTCCTCCATCCCTGTAGCTCCTACCCATGACTTCCAGACTGTTCCTGGGAGCAGCCAATCCTTAGCATCCCTGCAGCAACTCTTCTCTCTGCTCCTCAGGGCCTGTTCTTATACTGTTCTTATACACCCTAGTCCAATCAGGCGGCCTCCTGGCTGTCATGTGACCACCTGATTGGCCCTGCAGTCACCTGCAGACTACCTCACAGCCTGCTCAGGTCCTTAAAGTGGCAAGCACCCAAAGGTGCGCCTCCACACTTGGGGAAAAAGAACAAGAACAGTTCAACCACATTTGGTTATGTGAATAAGTCAGAAGGATGTGGTGTAGGACATCATCACAGATTATCCCGTGAACCACATTTCTTTTTTTCTCTTCCATTCACAAAGCAGTCCTCTGGAACTCCTCCACTCATTCTGCACCTTTTACTCTGAATCCAGGTATGAATGAAAGCACTAGTTATGTTTGCCCTTCCTTGGCATGTGTTGCTGTGGTGTCTCAATGTGGTTTATATACATAGCTTCTCTTGGTTTTGAGGGGCTAATTTGCAATTTGCTGAAAAAGAACTAAAAAAAATGTCCCTTAAACAACTAAACTGAAGTTGCTTCCTAAATCTGGTTCTGAATAGTTTGATGTTCTCATACCCACATGGTGTTGCAGTGGCTCTGACAAGTGATCCTTGTCTCAGTGAGCAAGTTGTAGAGGCAGATCGTATAGTCAGGTTCAAAAAGGGATTTGCCAAATTCATGGATGGTAGATCCATTAATAGCTATTAAACAACAGTCAGACATGCTTCCTCTGGCATCTCCAAACCAATGATAATGGATGCCAGGGGACATAAAGAACAGGGAATAGATCACTCTAGATCAGTGGTTCTCAGCCTTTTCATGGTCAAGGCATTCTGCCAAGTCTCTGAATGCAAGAGCATCCCTGGCTGAGAAGCGCTGTTGCTGCTTCCTCAGCTTACCTGAGTGCTTCTCAGCCAGGTTCTGCCAAGAGGGACTGTGCAATTGCAATGAAACATTCCAGTGCTGCAAAGTCAGGCTGAGAAGGGCTGTGCCACATATGCGCATTCCTGCATTAAGGCTCTGATCAGCATTAAGTAGACTGGGTCTGGTCCAGTGCCCCTAATACTCCTCCTGGAAACAGCAGTGGATGGGACAGTTCTGTGCCTATTCCCAAGAGGAAGTTGCAGGGGACAGGTCAGAAGGAGCTGCATGGCACAGGTCTACTTTGCTGCCTGCTTTAGGCTTATTAGAGCCCTAATGCAGGAGGAGCATATGGGGCAGTTTTACCTGCTCACTGCCCCACATGGCACCCCAGAGGGGACACCACAACAGCCTGGTTGAGACTCACTGCTCTAGATATACCCTGTTCATATGCTTTCCCTTTAAAGCATACACTTCTGGCATTGCCAGACACGGGACATGGGGGTAGAGCAGGGGTGGGCAAAATACAGCCCACTGGCCAGATCCCACAGCCACTTGACTAGATCCAACCTGCAGTGCTCTGCCCAAGGCAACCTGTGCTGTTCTCTAGTCTACATCTGGCAGGCCCAGTGCAGGCCAGCATGCACAGTTTCCTGGTGCAGCTGCAGCCAACTGGGTGCTGTTCATCTCCCCTCACCTCCAATGGTGGCTCCTCTTCCTGCTCCTGCTGCGCAGCTCTGAGCAGGGAGGAAGCTTCAGCCAGGCAGCTCCTTTCCCAGTGCATGGGGCTCAGAACTCCAGCTTCTGGCTGCCCTTCCATCCCTCTGCCTTTCTGGCATGGGTGACTGAGTGGGTGGAAGTCAGTTGGGAGCTGGAGCCTGAGTCCCACACACTGGGGCAAGGCCACCCACCTGAAGCTTCCTCCCGGCCCAGAGTGATGCAGCAGGAACAGGAGGAAGAGGTGCCACTGGAGACAAGGGGAGCCTGAGCAGCACCTGGGTAGCTGCAGCAACACCAAGAGTAGCCCTGCCAGTAAGCTGTGTGCACTGGCTGGGCTGGGTCACTGGTCACAGGCTGGAGTGTGGTGCAGGCTGCTCTGGGCAAGGCTCAGCCCCACATGGATCACCATGGGGGGTAGTCACAGATGGTACAGCCCAGGTGAACTCTTCTGCACACACCTGTCCCCTTCCTCTCCTCACCCCTGGTTGGCTCCCAGGACTTAACGCCCAGGCAGCTCATGCCCCCACCCCCCATGTGTGCAAATGCCCCCACATACACCCTACTCACATAAACTCTCCACATCCCCCTCCCCCTCCCCACAGGGCAGGGGCATGCAGGGAGCAGATCATGGCTCTGTCCTGGGTCCCAGCCCTGTGTTATCACCACCCTGCAACCCTGTCCTGTGATCCTGGCCTTGCCTGTTTGTCTTGCTCTCAAACACTGCTCCCTGCTCACCCACAGCCCCATCCACATAGGGAGTTTTGGCAAGTTGTTGTGGCAGGAGGTGCGGGAGGGGTGCTGACTTGGCCCTCCACAACTCATCAAAATTCCCTACGTGGCCCCTGGGCCCAAATAACTGTTCACCCCTGGGCTAGAGGGACCATTAGTCTGACCCAGTTCTGTCATTGGGAGATTTGTCCTGAAAGAATCCTGACACTAATTCCTTAAATGCTACTTTTTCCTACCAGTGGGCATGTCTATGGATGTATTTACATGTGCCTTTGCTTAAGACACACTAAGGTGATTTAGGCGTGTGTCTACACGTGGATGCGCTAATGCACATTAAGGCACATTAAATTTAGTCACGACTAGCTAAATTGCATTAGTGCACATGCAGATGTACTAATGCACATTAGCATGGCGTGTCCATTGATGTGTACTATGTTAATACACATGAGCACGTCTATACTTGCACTGTGACTGAGCTATTCACACCAAAGTTTGATACCTGCTTTATGTAGACACACACTCTTAATACACCTTAAAAATAGTGATTTTTTTAGGATAAGACTGCTTAAAAGAGGCATGTGTAGATATGCCCAGTGTGGATGAAATTAAAGTCAGCTTTATACACTGATTTTCTTGAGACTGGGCAAGACGGATTAGATTTATGAGTTATTAACAGGCCTAGCGAAGTCACAAAGATCTCCATTATTCCTGGAACTCAAGTTTCCAGCTTTAGAAAGATGTGGATTAGGCTGTGTGGGTGGCCACATCAATCATTTTCACCTTCAACAACATTTAAAAGGAGACCCAGGAAGCTTCCAAATTCATCAGAACACAGTCTTTGAATTGCAGATCAGCGGTACTGGAGTCTAATGTTGACAATTTAGGATGGACTTCTTAAGAGAATTTCAGAGATTGAACACAACCTGTTGAGGTTGAATAGGATTTTGGTGTCTAACTTTCTATGGATGCTTTGAAAACAACAGCTCTAATTGTAAATATTAACTTTAACTACTGATAATTTAATTCTCAAATAAATGCATCTGTTTTTCAGTTGTTATAGTCTCATGCTCAAGGGCAAAGCTGTCAAGCGTCTTTCAGTGTGCTGAGGGAGTATTTCACACTGCACCAGATTTTCTATACATTTAATATACTGGGTGTTGACGGTAATATACTGATGTGTCGATGGGACATTTTAATATATTTTTATTGGATAATGTAACACAGAAGCAGGCAAAAAATGGCCGCGGGCTGGATTTGGCTCACCAAGCCATTCTATCTGGCCTGCAGGGCCCTACCAAAAAATAATCATTACCTGCCTGTGGCTGCCCCTCTGAAAGCCAACAGGAGCCACAGGCTTTCAGAGATTGTGTGCCATTGGATTGGGTGGGCTCTGTGCTTCCACCTCCATGGGGCTCCCAGCACTCTTAACTGGGAGCCCCATGTGAAAGCACCAAGCATGATGGTGCACAACTGGACAGCTGGTCAGGAGGGGGGGAAGCTCCTTCCTGCAGGAAGGGGGGGGATATTGTGTGGGTAGGTTTGGGGTTTGTGGGTGGGTGCAAGCCCCCCTGCCACAGCCCCTCCCCATGGGCACAGCGCCTGCTGCTGGCGGTGGATGCTCAAGGTGTTCAGTGTCTGCTGCAGGCAAAGTCCCCCAACAGCACGCATCTCTGGCTGAATCCTGGGAGCTGCATGTGGTGGCATGGACCTGGCCCAGCCCACCGGCACACATCTTTGAGCCAGGCCAGGCTGGTTTCATGCTAGCACTGCAGGCATTGGCTGGACCAGCTTCACACCTCCACGTGGAGCTTCAAGTACTCCAGAGGGTGGCTGCATGTGAAGGCACAGAGCCCACTCAGCCCGATGGTACGCAGATTGGGAACAAACACATGTAAGTCAGGACAAAAATAGTTTTTGAAATAAAATATGTATAGTATAGTATAAAATATAGTAGATGTTTGATTTTTGGTATATGATTTGGTATTTTTCCAGTTCCAAGAGTACTTCTGGGGGTAAGGGGAGGGACTTCTGGTGGCAAAGGTCAGGGGTTAGAGGTGGGACTTCTGGTCCTAAGATGACAGAGGGTGGGGCACCTAAAGTCGTTAAGCGGACCTCCAGCTGAAATAATTACCCACCTTGGGTGTAACAGGACCAGGCCCCAGAAGTGGCAGTGATGCCCACTTGGTGGCCAAACACCTCCTTCCCAGTTCTGCCTCTAGGCTACCCTCCTTTTGCTCTTTCCTGCCATGCCTTGGTATTCTTACTAGATTTGGAAAGGGAGGCTGCGTAAGGGCCTAAGCGTGAGCCTCAGCCTGTCTTCTGGCCAGTATATCCCCCTCAGATCTGATTGATCCCTATTTATCCCTATGCAAGGTGGGTTCTCTTATCCCAAGGGGTGTGTAGGGGACACCAGATGCCTTATGGACTATTCATGATCTCTGAGATCCCCTACAGCCATGCCCATGCCTCACAGGTGTTACCAGTCACTCATCAATGAGTGTTCAGCCCTAATCACTGCTTCAGTATATTCAGGCCTCTGCCTTCTCTATCTCTTGCCCCTCCTTGGGCTCAGGCCTCTTTTTTTTTTTTCCCCCACTTCTGCTCCTCCTGGACTATGGACTGTTGGCCCTTGTTCTCGCTTCTTGGGCTGTGGGCTCCTTGGCCCTGTTTATTCTTGCCCTACTTAGACTATGGGCCCCTGGCCCTGGTTCTTGCCTCTTTCTGGCTGTGATTCTGCCCCTCTGGACTATGGGCCCCTGGCCCTGGTTCTCACTCCACTCAGGCTGTGATTTCACCCCTTGGGGTATTGTGCTCCAATCTTTCTATCTTCAAGGCTTACTTGCCCTGGCAGGAATCTATTCTGTGTCTTGAGCCCTGGCCCCTGGTGGGGCTCCCCAAAACAGTTGTGTGCCATTCAGGCACCACTGGGACCTCCCTCCATCTTCTGTAACTAGTCCCAAACCTGATCCACCACTTATAACTGTAATTGAAACATAAGCACGCTGGCTACCGCTCAAACTGTTGCCCTTCACTGAGCGGTCCTAGCCTTTGGCCTCTAATTGCCTGCCTTCTTGCATCCAGCCTCTGAGCAATATTTCCTTGGCTGGCTGCAAGTGTTGCCTTTCACCTTAATGTGCCACTCTCTGTCTAGGAAAGTGCTCCCAGCTGCCTACTCCTTTGTAGCTGACCTGTATGCTGCTGCCTGGCCTCTGTCTGCCACAATTTTTTTCCCTTAAAGTAGCAGAAGTGTTAGACTCCCTGTTACAGATAGAGTGTACTCTTTTGTAAATGTGGTTTTAATGATGGATGCCAAGTGCTCTGTAATCTGGCCTTTGGTGACTTTCCCACACACTTGGACTTCTTATCAGCTACAAATCCATCGTATTAAATAGCAAGCAGGGATTTTTTTTTTCCTACAAGGGCATGGGTGCAGTGATCACTTTAGAAATAGACATTACATTTTGCCTAGGAAACTTTTGGCCTGGGATCCTACAAAGGAATCCCATGTGAAATACTGGTGGAGTATGCAATATAACATATGCTAATTTTTTTTCCAGGGTAACACGTTAGTTGCAACTAATTTAGGTTAATTGCCAAAGGCATTGGGGAGGGGGGTCCTTTTTGTCCCAGGTTTTTATCAATCAAACAGCCTCAAATGAAGCATTTTACATATCCTTAAATTCCCGGCTGCAGATTACTCCAATGAATTGCAGTTTTGAGATACTGTGCATTATGATGTTTCTGTAGCTGCCAGGCATTCTGGTTTGGTTGAAGGTAGCTACCTGTAGATGGACAGTTCAGACCAGAGGTATGTGTTAGTATTTATTGGTGACTTAAACTCTCACACATTTATGACTAACACTTTGTGCCACCCCAGGTTACCCAGGACACACTGCTCTGTTTTGGTTGCTGATAACCTGGTCTCAAGTATTTGAGTCTTCATCAACTCTCCTGGGGAAATACATGCTAGCATCTTCCCAGCCACCGGCCACAACAAGTACATCAAACTTAAATAGCTCTTTACATGATCTTATCTCACAAAATAGAGTTAAATCTACGATCTAGGTCCTTACTATCAAGGTACTCAGTAGCCAGTATCTGGATAGCCAAAAGAGCTTAGACTTCCAAGAAAAGGAATGAAAGTTTTGTTTCTCTTACCTGATGGATTCTACAATAGAGGTAATGCTAACCTGTACAAGAGCCTGACACTTCTTAAAGTTTAGACCTAGACAATGGAATTAACTTGGACAAGTACTATGAATTAATAAAATAGACTATACCACTTTCTCAGTGCAAGGTACACTGCTTCAACCTGCTGCCTATGACACAAAGCATTATGCATGACAGGGATGGCCGCTCTGTAGCAGAGGTGAGAGGAAGCAGGCAGCCAAGCAGCATAAAGCAGTTGGGGAGGGAAGAGTATCATAGTAGCACTGGGGGGGGCGGGCCATAGGGCTTAATTTTGTGGCACTTCTGCCAAAAAGATTGGCTCTCCTGGTGCACGGGAAAATTTAAAATATTAAAATACACTTCTATGGCACTACACTGGACACAAAATTCTCCCCTAACCTCTGAGGAGAGAAGATGAGAAACTGTTAGCTAAATCAACTTTGCTCTGCTACAAGAAGGCATTCAAATAATACAGATCAGTGTGGTATTAAAACCTGAATAAAGTGTAATCCAAGGGACCTTATTCACTTACCCTAATGGTGGTAGAAATCAAAATCCTCCTCCTTTCCCCTGAAGCACTCATTTCAAGCGGCAAATAATTGTTTTTACTGTTTCACTGTTTTTCCCTTACAGATAGGAGCACCTTTCCCTGAGATATCAGGGAATCAGGGGTTAGGGGTTAAGATCTGGCTGAACCAAATATTCTAATTTCTTTAACATCCTTTTTTTTGGGGGGTGGGTTTCTTAAGATGTTGACTTTTACATGGTCCATGTGTGATTGACTCTCAGATGCAGAGGCAGAAACTTTGTTTTTACTTGAGCATACCATAAAGCAGCATTGAGAAGTCATAGGTGGTTCAGGTAGTAACAGGTCAGTAGGGTTTATCACTGGTATCGAGCCTGTAGGATTTATCACTGTTTCAGTGGCCAGGTTCCTAGGCTTCCTAAACCCCCCATGAGCAGAAGGGAATAACAATGCTGATGGTGAGAACTGCAGGCACAAATACTTGTCAAAAAACCCCTCTCCCCTCTGAGCTTTCTTATTTTTTAAAGAAATTCCAAAAGTCCATGAAGTAACAAACAGGAAAGTAGGGTTGGGAGGAATCTCACGTCATCTACTTTAGATCCCTGCTCAGTGTAGGATCATCCCTGACTAACCATCCCAGTCAAGTGTCTGTCTAACCTGCATTTGAAAATCTTCAGGAGAAGGAGATCCCACAATTTTTCTAGGTCTGTTTGACTACCACATAGAAAGTTCCTCCTAATCTCCAACCTAAATTTCCTGTGCTGCTGTTTGAGGCTATTGCTCCTAGTTCTGTCTCCTGCAGACATGGGGAAAAGCCCATCTCTATTCTTGCTGTATATCCTCTATCTCCAGTCTTCTCTTCTCCAGACTAAGTAACCCTAGTTCTTTCAGCCATACCAGGTAAGTCTTGCTCCCAAGCCCTTAATCATTTTTGTTGCTCTCTGCTGCACTCCTTTCAATCTGTCCACATCCATTTTGAAGTATGGGGCCTAAACTGGACACAGTACTCGAGGTGATGCTTTACCAGTGCTGAATTGAATGGAAGAACCAGTTACTTTGATTTACAAGAGACACACTGGCACTGCACCTTCACCTCGCCCCACAGTGCCATGAGATCACCAGTCTCCTCCTTGGTTCAGTTGGGACCCCAGGTGGAAGGTATGGGCGTGGGCACAGGCATGGGCACAGGCCTGGGTGAGGAGGACCAGGCCATCATGGGTCCTGCATCAGCTCTCTGGGCCCCCGTGCAGCTGTCCTTGTCCTGCCAGGCCTGGGCAGCTGCCTGCAGCATCCAGCGCAGGGGCTTGGAATGGGACTGGCAGCTGCACAACAGAGGTCAATGCCCCGCAGCACATGCAGGCATAAGGCAGGCTGCTGGGGGTGAGCTGTGGGTTACTGACCCTGCTGGCCAGAATCTGCTTGCACCTGGGCCAGAAGGCTGACAGGCCTGGCTGGAGGCTGCAGCAGCCCGTGGTGTCTTGCTGGCCTGGATGGCACTGTCCAGGCAGCCACGTGGCACTGCAGCACCAGGTAGCAGTGCTGGGGTGCAAACCAGCTGGCAGAGCTAGGCTGTGACCTTCCCAGAGGGACTCAGTGGCCTGGAGTGCCCTCAGGTTCCCTGTATGTGTGCCCCAGGGCTCAAAATGCTTGCAGGCTTTTAAAGCCTGAGGCAGGGGCTGCTATAGCTCAGCCCTGGGGCAGGAGAGGCTCCCAACCCAGAGGCCAGCCCCCTAGTGGCAGGGCACATCCACAAGTTTATTACTGCGCAGTAATTCATCCCGCAGTACTAAGGATTTTTACTGTGCAGTAAGTATGCATATATGTAGACATACACACTTATTGTGCATAAACTAGGCTACTGCGCATTTCAGTGTCTTGTGTATACATGCCCAGTATGCTGTTGGCTCATATTCAGCTTATGATCCCAGATCCTTCACTGCAGTGCTGCTGCGTAGTCAATCATTCCCCAGTCTGTATTTGTGCATGCAATCTTCTTTCATAAGTCCAGTACTTAGCACTTGTTCATGCTGAATTTCATCAGATCGATTCTAGACCATGTTTCCAGTTTCTCCAGGTCACTCTGGATCCTAGTCCCACTCTCCAGTGTCTGCAATTTGCCCCAACATGGTGTCGCCCACAAATTTGCTAAGAGTGCATTCCCATTGTCCAAATCATTAATGACTCATTAATTAGTTATACATAAAAATATTTATTCATACTAAAATTGAGTGTTTAATATTAGAGTACCAAATTCAGAATATATTAAATCATGAGATGCATCAGTTAAGGCACAAATTCCAGTCTGATGTCTTTAATAAATACACTATACAATACTAGTACTGAATGTACTCTATTTTAATCAGAGGTAATCAGTTATTCTACTCATTTTTAAAGGGATAATAAACATATATGTTTTGCTGTAACCATTAGAATTTACTGCATCTTCACTGGCTTGTTTGAATTAAGATTAAATGCAAAAGCATTATTTAAAATGTGAAATATTAAAATAAAAAATTGGAGTATTAATTTGTCTTTTAGGTCCCTGCCAGAGGGCCTGAATATAAAAGGCACTATTGTTAATATACTTTCAGCTACTAATGTTGCATTTGTAGTATTTATTTTCTTGAGGTATGATACAGTTTTTGGTTCCTTATTATAGATTTTTAAAAGCATAAACTACTGGAAATAATTAACTAAAATACTTTAAGATAACATTTCCAATTTCTGCTGTAGTTTTTTTGTACGTTGCACAATGGCCACAGCAAAACAATTCCACTTAAAATATATGTTACTAAACTAAATTAGAAGCAGAAGCACAGGTGTTTTCCTGTGTGTAGATCCATCTGTACTTAAAACTACAATACAAAAGAGGAGCAAGCTCTTCTAAGTTCATTGATAACAACACATTGTTGTCCAGTTTTTAGACACCCATTAAGCCATTTTGACGAAGTTGTATAAATCTGCAAGACTGCTGACCAAAACAATTTACAATACTTGGTGCAGTAGTGTGTATACTCCCCTAAAAAATTAAAAGTACAATGTCATGGTTATAGAGGTAGTAAACTTCCAGTGAATGCTAACCAGTCTTTTATCATGCTTCTTTCTGCCTGGAAGCCTAGGGAAGTCGATGGCTTCAGGTCTTGTTTTAATAGTCAACAGATTTGGGAAATCTGAGACAGAAGTAGAGAGTTCCAAAGACTAAGGTTTTTCATAAGAAAATCCTTCCAATGGGTCCCTCTCCTAAACTAAGGGGGAATACCTTTGCTGACTGAAAATATAGCAGTATAGAGCAGGGAATAGATGTTTTCTCATCTGGAAAGGTTCCAAGCTTCCCAGAGCTTTCTAGATCTAACCCAACACCTTAAATTACCAAGAATCACACTGGCAGTTAATGCAGACTGGAGGACTTACAATGTACTCAGGAAAAGCTGTTTCACCAGCAAAGGAGCAGCAGTCTATGCCAGCTTCAGTTTCCAGGTGGATTTATTCTGTAGCCCTTGCTAGAGTTAACAGCAGTAATTAATTACAAGGCGGCAAAAAAGTACTTGTCATGGTGGCATGGTCTATGTCCAAAAGATGCTGGCTCATCTTTCTGTCAAATCTGGAAGGAGAACCTCCAAATTTCAGTCTAGTGGCACCTGAGGATCCTAACCACTATTCTTCAAGTAACAGAAACATAATGTATACTTCCATCATTTTAAGAAACACAGACTTTTTACCAATCTGCCATCCTCATGGTCTGTCCTCTCTAGATAGAACCTCTTCTAGCTTCTCCTTACCTGTTCCCCAGTCCATTGGACCTAAAGTGTTTTTGCTGCTGTAGGGTGTGCCTAAATAAACTACTAATCCATCATTTATGTGCATGTTGAGCATGGAACTGAAAGGAATGTAACTATGACAATATCCTAACTGTGCACCCTGAAGCAGTTAACTATAGTTAGAGTGTATCTGAGAAAAATGGTTTAAAATGTTAAAAATGTATCTGTCCTGATCTGAGCTGAGGAGAGCTGCTCAATCTTCCCTTATGGAAACTGCTTCATGGTAGAAGGGAGAAAGCAAGGGAAAGGATAATAAACACCACCTTATGTTAACTGTTTTTACAGTTAACATAAGATGGCAAAGTCATTTTTCTAGGATTCTCTGGGATTCAGCTAGCATGATATCTGTCTCCAGGGAACCCAAATGCCCTTTCAGATACACTTGGTAACCCAAGTTTCAGTTTCCATTTTCTGTTAGAATCTGGAAATAATATATATGCCCAAATTAGTTTTTCTGCTAGATGAAAGTGGCTACAGAGAAGAACTAGCTTCACACACTGAGGAGGGTAAAGAGACAATTTAAAGCTGTCCTGACTCTCTATATCCAGTATATTGAACGGGAATTGGATTCAGAAATCCGAAATGTGAGAATTTCAAAATCAGATTCTCAAAATGATGCCAGTGTAAATTGAGAGTAATGGCACTTAGGTCAGAGGAAACAGTGGTGTAAAACAGTTTCATCAGAGGTATTTAGGCCAGATACAGACATTACAGTTTTACTGGTATAAGTGATTGGAAACTAGTTTATACCTGTAACAGAACAGAAGTTCGGCGTGCAAAGATTGGTTTAAAAATAGCAGAATCCAGTTTAAGATTCCCTCCCCCAAGGACAAATGTGTATTCTGTTTGCTACCTAACTAAACCACCACTTACAGAAAACAGCGTAAAGATTGATTCTGCCTCAGGCTTTTTGAATGTCTGTACCTAGCCCTAAAATCTATATGTCCTTTCTAGTGCAGCTTGCTACAATCAAAGCATGTTCCAACATTTTCAGTTCTGGGTTGGGAGGAGAAATGCCAATGGAAGCTCTCAAACAAAACCTCAAAGCTGAAGCACCACTTTCTCCCTTCAACCTTCTTATGCCGTTCAGCTGTGGAGTTCAGATTGTATCCTTCTGTTCAAAGTTCAAATTAGAGCTACAGTGAGACAACAGTCAATTTCTAGACTGAAGAGACCACATGGAGAAAAAATAGAAGGAACTAAAAAACAACAGAAAGATATCAGGGTGGGAAGTAGTAAACAAGACAAATGTGAGGCATGTTAAAAACAACAACCTTAAATTGCCTAGAGCATACATATCTGTATGCTCATGATTGCATCTTGACTAAGCACTCTTGGAGTTGGGTGCACCACTGTTACCTGACCAGAAAGTTCCAACTAGACAATCTGAATGTGGGATTGGACAATCATCAATTGGAGCCATGTTCTATTAAAAATAAAGGCCCTGTTGCTGTTCCCTTTGAAATGAAAATTTACAGTAGCTTCAGAGGGAGGAGGATTAGGCCCAAAATACTTCTAATTAGCAAAAATAATTTGACCCAGTTACAAATTGCAAAGTAACTGGTCTATAATATAGTAAATCAACAAGACAGTGCTCACACTTAATAGCAGTATTTTCGATGTAAGGAAGAATTAATTTTTTTCAAGTGATCTGTAGTATTCAGTCAAGACTTTCCAAGCTTTTGGAGCCATGAATCCATCAGGTGGATTTTCACCTTCCCGAGCAAGCTTTCTCATGCGTGTTCCAGAGATGAAATCAAATTCATTGTTCCTAGCACAAAACAGACATGCATGAAATCAGTATGAATTTTATCAGCCCACTGTACATTAAAGTCAAATTGTTCCAAGTTTACTTTATCTTCTATGCTAAAATTTTTATTTGAAAATTGCTAGCACTATCTATACACTAACCCTGTAGGCATGAAAGGCACAAAACTTTATGTTTCTATTTATAAGCATCAGAAAGTAGCAATGGACCCCTTAAAAAGGATCTCAATTTCCAGTACTACTTTGTATCATCAAATATAAAATAGTTTCCTCAAAATTAGAGAGTGTACTTCTGTCATTTGTCCTCTAACAGATCATTTTTTTGCTAACTGTAACATTAGTTTCAGATGTAATAAATCCTTTGTCTGGGTCCCTCGTGAGCAAATGAATGGGCTTGAGGAATGGGTCAACTGATCTCTAATTTCTATGGTTTCATCTGCCTCTTAGCAGAAATACAAAAAAGTATTTTTCCTTTCTTTTGGCAAACTGGCAACCATAAGAAGTAATTAAATATATTAACTATGTATAGGCTAGTTTAAGTAATTATTATTGTTATGCAAGGTGTTACCTTTCTGGGTCATAGAAAACCATGGCCTTTTTTACTTTATTGTATGCTGCAACTCTGAAGGGAATGATCTCCACGGATGTCAGGCCTGGTGCCATGCTAAGGACCTTTCCTCCTTGTGTTGGCTCATACAGGTCTTTCTTGGTCTCTGGATGAGGCATGCCTGCAGGGTCGCGACCCACAATGTAGAAATTGGCTCCAGCAATCATTCGAGCCCTGCAGTGCCACTGAACCTGCAAAAGTTAAACAGAAATAGTGCTAGTTAAATGCAAACTGATGTATATAGATTTTTTTTCTGGCTTTAATAAAAAACTAACTGAAAGTCAGGCACCCTCTGTAGCTGGGCAGACAAGAATGACGTGAATGAAATGGAAGACACTCATGAGAAGGCTACTCGTTGTTTCTGATTACTGATTTATTACCATCAACTACCAGTCTTTCCGCATCCTCTGCTTAAATTAAATGAAACTTGTGGAAACTGACAGTTCTGCAAAGGATACATCTAATGGAAACTGTGAGGAAACTGATTTTGTTCTATTTTTAGGGCTGTAAAAATAACAGTGCGATAGCTTGTTTTCTGTTTGTCATAACTATGTAACTGAAAAATATCTGAAAATCAAGAGACCCATACTGCAGAAGCCTCTACTTTCTAGTAGTTGAATATATGACATAATAATGTAAGCATGGTTGGCTGGACTGTCTGGGGGCTTTAGTGAATCAGGGAAGCCCAAGGTATTCTCTATCAACTTAATATAATTTCTCTTTTCTTGGACTTCCCAAAGTGCCATACTTTTGATTCTGTATAAACCAAAGGGGTTGCCCCTATTTCTGCAGTAGACCAGCAGCCTACTGGAGCCATCTTTGCACATCATGTCCTGATGTGCTGTGCCTCTGTGTTGTACTCACTTGAAACTGCCTCTGCCCAGCTAGACCTCTTCCATTTTGTATTTGTCACAAAATTGCTCACAGTACAAATGTTGAAACTGCTCATTAAAAAGTACAACTCCACCTGAGCTCATCTAGTTATGTTATAGTTATGTTATATTCCTCTGTTATAAGGTTTATATAGGGTTGTATTTAGTTTAGAGTTATTGAATAATCATAATAAGGGAAGTGCAAACTTTTTTTAAAGGCTCACAAGAAGGGAAGATACTAAATGTCCATATTGCAACCAGGTGACTCCCAGGTGGGCACTGAATGAGCAGATGAAGCCATGAGGAAACTCAGGAATATTCTGAGCGGAGAATTATTGGGAAAAACTGAACAATTAAAGGCCCATCTTCAGGAGCTTCCACAGGGGTAGAAATTAATCAAGAATCAAAATCTGAGTCTCCAATGAGGCTTCTCCCTCATGTGGACAGGTTACTGAACACTTACTATCAATAGGGGCCTGCTAGCAGACAGTTTTAATTGCAGCAGCTCTGAATGAAGCATCAGGTACAAAAGAAGTGGCAAGGGAAGGTAAGAGGAAGACAGCCTCTGGCGCTTCCCTCTGCTGGTGGTGCCTGAAAGTGTCACGGTGACTAGGAAGCAATAAAAGACAGAAGCCAAGCAGCCTGAGACAAAAGCCAAGGTGGCATTGCAGGCTGAGGAATTTATACTAAGTGAGCGGAGAAAGCTTGAGAGTTCAAGAAGTTCAGATGGCCCAGGATTAGAGGAAAGAAAACGCCAAGTAAACTTAGAAAGTTATCAGACCCAGAATGACAAACCTTGGTAAGCTTTGTGAGGTTTTGACTTTTTAAATTTGAACTTGACTAATGTGAGGACACAACATACTTCTATTCCCTTTTGAAGGGAATATGGAACAGGCTATAGAGCCCTCATTCTTTGGAATATAGCACCGGCTCTCAAGAATTGTGGGAAGGCCTTATTGGTTAGGATATTTGCTTAACATTGGTTTGGTAAATAGTTGTGTAACACCTACACACATGGGTTGAGTATGGCAAAGTATATGCTTTTGGTTGTTGTGTATTCTGGTTTTTCTGTGTGTGTTTCTTATGTGGGCAAGATGGCCCCTGTTGTTCTGGACATGGAAAACTGAGACCTGTATCTGCGCGAAATATGTAAAATCCTCTGGCCTACTGAGCAGGGGAAAAGAAAGATCCTCCAGGCAGACTGAGTGAGAGAGAGGCTGGAGCACTGCACTGCCTAGCTGGACAAGGCATAGGTTATGCTATGCCAGGTATATAAGAACAATTCAACAAAGGTTTTCTCTCTCCTGGGGCTCCTAAGAGCTGCACAGCTGAACTGGAAACCAGAAAAACTGCTCCCATAGTGGTGGGGTCTCCCCTCAATCTTCACTGGAGAGGCAAGCAAAAGATATGTGAAGGAAAAGCCTCAGATACAGGGAGAGAAAGTCCACCACAGAGTTTGAGACCCCTATTTTCTTCCTCCTTTCCATTTTTTTTCCTTGAGTGGGATAATACCAGAGGGGTGTTAATCTTTGGAGCAGACTGACCAGGAATGGGGTCCTGGCAGTTGCTGGCCACATGGGCCTGGCCTCCTCTGTTTTAATATTGTAGTCTCAGCTTAGTGGTATAGTTGAAACTGGATGTCCAGGCTGCAGCCATAGGCCTGGGACCTTTTTGCTGTTTCACAGCTACTGCGTTTCAGCCTGGCTGTGCAGCTGGACCCCAGCCATATATATCTGGCTACCAGATTTGGGCCAGGGTGGAGCCTAGCAGTTTGAGCCAGGGTGAGACCTGGCACTTCTTGTTGATCCAGGCCTCAGTGCAGTATAGGCCTGGCTGGCTTTTGCTGCCCAGTCTAGGCCCAGTGAGATAGGTGTGGACCTTCTGTTTTCCCTTTTGTAATTTATGTCCCAACCAAACTGTGTGGTTGGGCACTAGTTGGTAGTTCAGGCCCAAGCCAAGATAGGCCTAACCTTTCCTCTGAGAACTTTTTGCAGTTTTTTTTGCCCAGAAGAGCTGGGATTAGGATTAGGAATTTTGGGGTGCAGTATGCTGACAAAAGCTGCAGTTAACCCCTCCAAGCCACCATGCAGAAGTGGAGGTCGGTGCTCTACCATGTCTCCAGGAGCAACGGAGCCCCTTGCAGTGCAGAAGAACCCACAATCTTGAGCAGCTTCCCACAGCGCAGTGAACCCAAGGACCAGCTCATAGGACTCTCCGGTATGGGCCTCCTCTCCAGCCCATTGCTGAAGGGCAGGTATAGAAGTGAAGACCCGCAGAAATACCCTTTGGGGAGCCCCAAGTCTCAGGCTGCCTGAGCATGGGTGAAGCCTCCCCAAGAGGGTGTCACCTATAGACTTCGCCTTGCAGTTAATAGTGTTTTAAAATTATATTTAGTGTTTTCTTTTGGGCTTTTTTTGCCTTTATTTTCTGTAATTTTTTTGTGTGTGTTTACACTGCTTGCGAGGAGAGGGTTTTGTTTACACATGACACCCCAGCAAATTTAGTGTTCCCAGATTTCTAGGTGGAGGCTCAAGCCACTGGTATAATTTATGGGATACCCTGAAATATAAACCTGGCCCTCCTTGCTGCCTACTGATGCCCAGCAGAAGGGTTACAGTTGTATTTTTAATTCCACAGAATGCAGCTAGAGTTTATACTATGAAAGTGGGGAAAATGTAAGTAACTGAATAAAAAACAGTGAGTTTCTGAAATATATCTTGAGAAAATGGCTCCTTTGGGCTCTGTTTCATGGTCACCTATATTTTTTTCAGTTACCTGTACCTGTTATATTCACGACCAAGACTACCAAAGTGCAAAATCACTATAGGAATAAAGGGCTGCTTTGCACATTCTCAACTAAACTGCTAGCTAAATTCTGATTTTCTCACATTGTTATTATTAGTGTCAGGTTTTATGCTTGACATTTGGGTATCAAATTTTGTTTTTAATCTATCAATGAGAAAATCTTGTAGTGCAAGCAGAACTGATAGAGAAGCTACTGATGGAGCATGGATAGGAGTCTCACAATGGTGGGACAGTGTCTACAGTGTCTCTTCTATAATTAGAACCACACTTTATGGATTTGGGATTGGTTGTTACTCAGGAAATGCATTACCTCTGTTGGACCAGCATATAGCATGGGTGCAGGGAAGATTGCAACCACAGTTCCCTTTGGATCTAGGACATATTCCTCAAGCACTGCTGCATGCTGCTTCATTCGCCACTCAAGTGGCACATCATCATCTTTGGTCCACCCTCCAAGAGGATGCAGGAGAAGCACAGGATGTTTGTAGCCTCTTTCCAGCAGATGGCGTTTGGTATCCTGCATGAGCAGAGCATGTCCATTGTGAACAGGGTTGCGCAGCTGAAATGCAAATATTGCATCTAAAAAAGAAAGATTCAGAAGTGTCATTAGTCTGTTGAGGTGCAACTTCAAAGAAAACAAGCAATAATTAGATGTGGACATTGCATCGTTATGAGGATGAAAAAGTCTGTCATAAGACATCTTATAAATTGTTTGCCAGAACCTATTCCACCTATTAGGTGCCTAAATGCAATCTTATTCCATTCTGTTCAAATCCATGAAACAGCTGCCAATGAAAAAGTTGGGTCGGTTCTCCTTCTCTTTGCTACTTTTTGTGACCTGGTCATAAGGCTAGAGTAATGGTGTGTTACAAAAGTAGGTGTGTTAATGGCTACTCAGGGGCTTGATCAGGATGGAACAGGATCATGTTTGATGTTTAATGTATCTAGGATGTGATCTTCTCTCTTCACATGGAATAGACCTTAAATTATTTATATCAGTTTATAACATAATACACTCAAATATTTTCCCTTTCTCTAGTAACTGCTCTTTGAAATCTGCTTTATTTGCATACATTTCCTCTGAATATGATCTTGGTTCTATTTTCCCCTTGTGGCCGAAATTATTTTTCAGGTGTCAACTGTACATATTTCCAATCTATGCCAAATATCACAACTGCAGTTCTAAAATTTCTAAGTTCAACAAGATGTATAGGAAGGCTAGAAAATCTAACTAAATGAACACTCTTTAAAAAAAAACAAAAAACAAGCTGAGAGAGCATTGGAGATGGTGGGGAAGGTATGGAACTTCTCCCTGGTGTGGACATGTTTTGTTGAATCTTTCCAGGCACCGGCAAAACAAGATCTCATTATAAGAGCACTGTATCTGCCCAGAAGGTTCTCTTTACTGAGTGCCAAATGTTCTGATTTCTCAATCTTTTTGTATGGAAATTTTAAAGAAGACACAGGGACAAGGCCTACATTTCTATTTTCAATCTCACATCTCATAGGTACAGGTGGGCACTTTTCCTATTGTCCAATTCCAACTGTATGTGACCTAGACAGTTCATGATTAATTCAGATAGGACAGAGATCATATATGTAGGTTGCAGGAAGCAGTTGGAGAAGGAAGACCATATTGATTACTTTTCTGCTCTGTTTCTCAGATTTGTAAAGTGGGCTTGTTTTGACTAACAGCTACTGATAAAGTAACGTCTAGATAATGCTACTGGGAAGAGAAATGCACTATATCACAATTTGTATTCTGAAAGCTATGTCAAAGTGAGGATATTACAGTAGGGAGATAAAGCATAATTAGGTTTTAACCCAGCTGAGATCATGCAGGGTGCTTAACATTACATATGTACATGCTCACCAGCATTCATTTCTTTAAACTTCTGTTTCAGCTCCAAAGGTGTCAGACGGTATTGATCCAGTCCATCATTCCACTTTATTCTCTCTAGCACAAGAAGATCTCCTCCAACCAACCAATCCCCACTTTCCATTACCATCTGTAAGTTACACACACACATATACACACATTAGTCATGTGACAGCCATTAAGTGCTAAAATATCTTCACTCATTTTATCTTTAATTCCTCTACAACTCCACAATCCAACTAAAAATGACTTAAAGCGAGGGTACACACACACACACACACACACACACACATATTCAAGGAAGCACTTCCAAGATGACCCTCAAAAGGTGAGGTGCATCTTTGAAGCACTTTCTTTTGAATAATTCATAGAGTGGACTCTTCTGTGCCCTCCACTGTCCTCAGGAGCCTGCAGAGACTGTATGTGGAGAGGAATGCTGGGTATTCTGCTCTCCAGTGGAGGGGAGGAGAGACAGTGCTGAAGTGTGCCAAATTTTGAGCATTCTAGGATTTGCAGTGTCTGATCATGGCCTGGCTGGTTTCTTCTAATGCAGGCTTGTCCAACATGTGGCCTGTGGGTTGCCATGCGGCCCTCCAAGCTGTTTTCTGAGGCCTGAGGTGCTGCGATGGGAAACGAAAGTAAACACTGTACTTTCATTTCGGGTGAGGTGATGTGATACCGCTTCCTGTGAGGACTTTGAATATGGCTTACTGGCCCACTGTGTGATAAAAAGTTCATGATGCAGCCCCACATTCAAAAAGGTTGGACCCCCCTGTCTATTGGAAGTGATTCTCTCTTCAAATACTAACTGACCCTTCAAAAAGGTTGTTTAGGCAAGACTTTTGCATATATATGCACTTCCCTTTTTATTAGCAATGGTTCTACTGATACTGCTTTTGGAATAGTTAGGATGAAAAATCTATTGTGTATAAATAAAAGAGATAAGTGCCACTCCTGACCACATGTACAATATGGCTGCGTGCATGCATGTGGCATTTATCAGTGACATTATTGGGCTATACCAGCCAAAAAAAGCAGATTGCCGATAATGTCAATTTTCCTTTTATTGGTGCCAATCCAATATGGACAGATATATCAATGCACCTCTACCGTCCCCCACTTTGGCCCTTCCCCTGCACCAAAATCCACATCATTCATGGCAATAGTTGAGAAGGGATATAATTAGGATGACCCCAAATGCTATGACTAGTATGTGGAACCTTAAGGAGAAGTACAAACTCAGCTCAGAAAACATAATATAAAATAAATATAGTTTAAATAAATGTGTGTGTGTGTGTGTGTGTATATAATGTTGTTTAAATTATAAATATATATTTGTGTATAAGTATGTAAAGAACATCTATATAAAACTCTCCAGCTCTGTTCTGTGGTATCTTATTTTTCTTCTCATTCATTTGATTTTGAGTTCTTTATCTCACTGATGAAATAAACTGCTCCCTCAGTATGTAATAAACATGCTGTTAATTGATTGCTTCGAATCTGAGAAACCAATGTATTCGTTCTAATGAGATCATTTTTGGGTAGTGGTTCTCTGTATTTTGCTGTGAGAGTGTACAGAAAATACCATGTACTTTCCTAATATGAAACGAGCCATTCCCCCCCCCCCCCCCCACAAAGAGTATACCTTAGTTTTTAATCCTTTGAGATGTATTATTGGAAACATGGAATTCACAAACCCCCTTACTTTGACATGCGGGTGTTTTGCGCAGGTCGTTCCCCAGACACGTGCACAGCGCTCCTCTTTCCTATGTTCATAGAACTCTGGGTTTTTGAGGATTGCCACCTTCCGCCCATTGTACTCAAGTGTGAATTCAGTGCATCCTTCCAGCCGTTTCTTATTTTCCGTTGAAATGGGCAGCACAATGGGAATGCTCAGATTAATTACACCATCTGTAAAGAAAGTACCATCTATTTTAATGTATTTTAAGATTAAAGTTTGTAAGGGGGGGGGGAGAAAAAGGAACAAGAAAATGTTCTGAAACAGGATATCCTAGTTTTGCATTATTAGGATACTTGGAAGA